ACTTTTTATGACCACGGTCTTAAATGATTAGTCAAATGTAGCTATAGTCTTGCTTTTAGCATTTCCTTCCTAACATTGTAGCTACAACTGTCTACCAACAATGAATTATGAATATATTTGGTGGCCCACAACATCTGTAGTTATTTTCCTGTTGTCAAATGTGCCAGCAATTTGAGTAGGACACAAGTCTGTGGTCTGAGACATAAAAATCAGTCCTAAGGTCTAGCTCTGAATGGAATCGCTGCATGTTTTTATTGCCCAGTGTCCCAGTTGCAGTGTGATATTCCCACTTAGGTACTGTGGCCAGCTATAAATTATAAGATTTCCTGTATTTCCAAGCTTACTATATGCAGGTCATCTTGTTCACTTTCCAAATGAGAGTAGGCACATGTTACTACTTCTCGTGTTAATTTAAAACTGTTGTGTTCTTGATTTTCCAGCTGTTAAAAATGGCATGATTTCATTGGGATTCTCATCATTTACACAGCAGAATTTGTGCTGTGGTCTTTGAAGGAAATACTTAATTGACAAAAGAAGAGAGAAAAATCTTTATTAGGTTCTCTGAAGTAGTAAAGAAGGGGAAGTAAGTGGTAGATATTTGAAAGGCTATGTACAGGGCATATAATATGAAAAAAGCATATAAGAATTATATTATTTTACACTTCCCGCTGTATGTAAGAATTTGAGATTTCAGTAGATCTGCTGGTTGAGTAAGATTCTTTTTAGCTTCACAGCATTGTAGGAACATCATCACGAGTTAAAATAAGAATTTTTGTCAGTCCCACCACTGAAATTATTGCTGAACCTCTCTCCCTCCTTAACATCTTGTGCCATTTTAAAATACCTCCATTTTTTGTGGTCACCTGTATGACCTCCAGAGAGAGGATAAAGAAGGAGCAGATCTCTTCTTTATGTGTTCTCCTCCTCCCCTACTGCATTCCTCTTCACTGTGGCTTATGGCTTCCTATCTCTTGGAAGCTCCACAAAATAGCCAGATAGATTGATTTCCCTTTACCAATATGGCCTGTTCTTATTAATATGTGGATAATATGTATTTTTTAAATATAATTAAATGTCCCAAACTATGTTAAATGGGCTGGGTGAAGCCTGCAGAAGTGAGATCTAACGTCTCTTAGTGTTAACCATACAAACTTAAGACACATGCTTCCATATCAGCATATTCATGGGACACGACTCTCACTATTTCTTTCATTGTGTAAGACCTTTGGTTTCTTTTCTTTTTCTTCTGTTTTTTCCATCTTTCTTGCAGGGGTTTCTAAAGAAAAGCTTTACCAGGAAAACTTTCTGTAGCTCTCTCTAAAAATAGTGTACTATACATAGTGTCTGGTTTTGTAAACCTTTAAAAAACTACATTGGAAAGGTAGAATTACATTGAATAGTTTCTGGAATGCCTGGCAGTACTCTCTCAAAAGTATTTTCTAGCAAAAGTTTAGCATTGTTCTGCCCTTGCATTTTTATGCCTACCTTTTAATGAACTTGAACAATGGTTGCAATGTTCAGCAGCTGCAGACTCACTCCAGGATCTTTTTATTATCCATCCCCCATCCTTTTAAGATTAAGGAGTAACAGATGTCCAACCATAGTTATGCCAACCCACTCTACTACCTACAAGTGCACCAACCACTCTACTCTTAATCCTCTCTCTACGTTAACATCCCTTCACTGAGGAATGGAGGGACCATGTTAAAGCTTTGCATGAGCAAATGAGTCTATGCCAGATTCACCCACTGCTGGTCAGGGTCATTCCTGAGCCTGACTGTCACTGATTCATATACCTAAATTAAATGCTATTGGAAAACTATAGACGGGTGTTGTTAATAATTCAGATACATATTTTTACTGTATGATGTTGGTTGTGTTATGAAGGTCTTTCATGCTAATGTTGCAACACACTATTTCTGGCCTATTGAAGCATCGCCTTGATGAGTTGTCCTGGTTTTTTTGTTGGATGCTGTAGAGATGAGAAATAAATGGCAATGCAAGCTACATTGATTCTGGATTAACTGTGTAAAATAAATAAATGTATATATATATTTGAAGGAAGGACTGCGTTCTCATCCTGAAATTTTGCACAGCCTCCATCAATAAAATGTGTCTCACAATTTATGTTGCATTTACCCTGAGAGCACCAATTCATTACCATTGCATCTGGTTTTTGTTTAGGGAATGCAGGTATCCAACTTACCAACTGATTTGCCTTGGGTCATACAAGAGCATAAAAAAAGCCTATGGTTTTCTCCAGTCCCACATGAGCAGAGTGAGCCCTCTTCCTCATGGTGCAGGTGCAGATACCTGCTTCCCAAGGTGGGAAGCTCCTGAAGCCAAACTACAACATCAGCATTTTTTTTTTTTTGCCGAAAGAAGATCCAGTTAAGGCCAGGTTGAATCTTTGGGCCATACTACTTATTTTTGGAACCTCTCACACTAATCCATAGTTATTTTATAAAAATACATATCCATTTCTTAGGACTTTACAAATTGAGTTATTTGAGGAAAAAGCAGACATTTTTATGTTTCTGAAAAGTTTATGTGAATTTGGGAAAGGGCTATATTTAAAAAATGGAACACTTGTTAATTATTTAATGCCCTTCAACACTTTATACCTTAAAGACTCTTTAACTCATAGAAGAGGAAAAGAAACATTAAACCCCTAAACTTTTTTCCCCTGCTCATAATTTAAAATGGCTAAATGGATCATTTTTGAGTATGTGTAATAAAACTCACTCTTAGGCTGAGACACTGTATTTCAGGTTCATACTGAATCCAATTTTTACAGGCAACCTGCTAACCTCTTGGAAAAAAATGGGTAGGTTTATAATGGAAATGCTGATCAGCCTTAATAAAGCAACTCTACCAAATGACACAGTTTCATCTAGTATGTGTACATGCATTATAACTGTATTACTCCCGTACTGTATACTGTGAATGATACGAGAACAAAACAATATAACATCAAGTGCAACAAATATACGTAACAGTGGTGCAAAGATTTAAAATATGAAACAAGGTGGTGAATGTGAGCAAACCTTTTACAGTATAATAGGAATACCATTTTGTAAGCCCTTCTTTCTTTTTGCAGTACAATTAATTA